CCAAGTAGCTGGGATGACAGGCATGTGCCACCATGCCCAGCTAATTTTTGTATTTTTAGTAGAGACAGGGTTTCACCATTGAGTCAAGCTGGTCTCAAACTCCTGAACTCATGAGCTGCCCACCTTGGCCTCCAAAAGTTCTGGAATTCGAGGCATGAAACACCATGCCCAGTCCTCTTTCCTTTATAAATGACCTAGTCTCAGGTATGTCTTCATTCGCAGTGTGAGAACAGACTAATATACCAACTGACTTAAAAAATGCCACCAAGAACATGTACTGCTTGCCGGCAATGTGCCACTCTCAAGCTCAGTCCTGAGTTAGGAGACAAACACGCCCAGGCCTCCAAGGGTTCACAGTCTCATGGAGGAGCATGAATACATACAGCTTTATACATTCAGAAAATAGTTACGAGTCAGTCTCTGTGTTAAGCCCTGGGGACACAAACACGAGCAAACAGCACAGCGCAGGCTCCAAGAGGGCTATGCCCGGGGTGAACTGGGGCCCATAGCAAAGGAGCCTGGCCTGGGTGGGTGGGAGTAGAAAGGGCCAGAAAATCCTCTCCAAGGAAGTGAGGTTTCAGAGCTACCACACACTGTGCGCACTACTAAAGAATCTGCGTATTTCATCCATAATCCTCACAGCAACAGTCCATTGGGTAGTTATTATTTTACAGATGAGGCCTTAAGTAGCTTTGGTAAGTGGCAGAGCAAGACTGTGATCCCAGGGGCTCTGACCCCAAGGTTTATGCTCTTTCTAATATGTAAGTTTGCCTCTGAGAACACTGTCCTACAGGCTCTGACGGGGGAAGACGGTAGAGCATGGATGAACAGAACGGGAATGTGGAACTGGCTAGGTCGTCTGGAAGGTGTTGTGGAGGAGCTGTGACTTGAGAGAGCCTTGGGAGAATGACTTGGGTCAGGTTTGGGGGAAATTCTTTTATTACTCTACTGAGTCCTCTGGGTCATGTGCAGGGAAGAATACAGCAAGCTTGTCCAACCACTGGCCTGTGGGCCACACGTGGCCCAGGATGGCTTTGAATGCAGCCCGACACAAATTTGTAAACTTTCTTAACACATCATGAATTTTTTCAAGATTTTTTTTTTTTTAGCTCATCAGCTATCCTTAGTGTATTTTATGTGTGGCCCAAGACAATTCTTCTTCCAATGTGGCCCATGGAAGTCAAAAGATTGGACATCCCTGACTATGCGGCCAAGGCCATTTGCCTAGCAGTCCAGGGGATAGGGGATGTTTTGGGGGGGCAGGTAAAGATGAGGAGCCGTCTTTGGGCTTTTAGAAACAGAAACCCACTCATATTAACAGGCACTTTGCAGAACCCAAGAGCCAGAAACTGTACGGTGACCTCAGGACTGATGGCCGGGGACAGGGTGGGGGTAACATAAGCCCCGGTCAGCTGCTTCCTCCCTCTCACCTCAGCTTCTTCCTAGGGTCTCCCTCGTCTTTTTTCCTCCAGTTGGGCTTTCACTGCCTCTGGGTAGCAGGGCAAAGATGCCTCCAAACACTTCCTAAGATCTAACATCTCTGACCTGCAATTCTAACTCTCTAGGAGGGAGTCTGATGTGTTTCCCTCTGGTCACACAGCGATGGCCAGGAAGTAAGGGTGTCTCATCTCAGAGAAGAGGGAATGTGAGCTGGGTGGACCCCCAGAGGTCATGCCAGAGTATCCTGGAGAGGTGTCAGCTATAGGCGTGGTCAGAACCCAAGTTCTGGGGAGACAGTGCTGAGAGTTTTGCATTTTTACTTTCTCACTCTGCCCTTTAAAGTAATACATTAGCTTCCACATTTATAATTCTGTGGAGTTGTTAAATCCAGAAATAAAGATTTAATTTTTTAAGGTCTGCATTGCAAGAGAAGAAATTAAAGACCAGGCAAAGGAAGCTCATCGGCCAGGCTGTGGGGGCAACCGGGCCTGCGGAGGCCACAGCTGCCAACAGGAGCGAAGCTGCAGGACAGCTCCTGCTCTCCAGCCAGAGAAATAGGAAAGTTCTCGTGGACCAGAGGCCACACAGCAAAGGCAGACACAAAGAGGCTGGGCAGCAGGCCCTGAAGAGACTCATCCTGAAGGCCCTGAGAAATACCAGGACAGTCTCAGCAGCTCTCAAAATGGCCATGCTTCCCTCTAAACCAGCTAGAGGAGTGGGGAGCAGTGGGAGGGTGTGCCCCCAGGAGCCTCAGGGAAGAGGTGCCTGTTCAAGGAGAGATGAGAAGAGGCCCAGAAAATCTGAGACTGGAGGAGGAGGAAAAGGAGGGAAAGGGCTTGCTTTCTGTTTAGCTCACAGCCCACCCCAGAGGAAATGCTGACAGCTGAATCAACAACTTCATCCTGTGTATCTCTGCCCTCTCCCTCTCCACCGTCCAGAGCGCTCACAGCATTGGCCCAACTTCTTGATTAAAATGAACAAGACGAACACTTTGGATTCTCTGGCAGGCAGATGCTAAGACCAGCATTGGAGAAGAGAGGATATTAAGAACAAAGAGGGGAGCTTAGGAGGTAAAGCAGGAAACCCCCAGGCCCAGTGTGGCGGAGAGGGGAGCCCTGTCCACACGGCCTCGTGATGGAGAAGCCACATCTGGACCTCTGCTGCAGCAGCCCGTCCTGGTTCTTGGTGCCCCTCAGACATCCCCAGCTCCGGATGTTTACTGTCTCAGGGCCAGGCATCGGGGCAGATGTGGGACTTCTCTTTGGACTTTTAACCCCTCTCTCCTCTATTAGGCCCTTTGCCTTCCACCGTCTTTTGTTCAACCAAATCAGAGGTCATAACCTATTTCTGCCAAGTGATGGGTTGTGGAAGGTGTGAGGTGGGTGATGAGGCTACCTGTGGATGATAGGATTTAGCTACCGGGGCTGTATCCTGGAGCAGCGGATCATTCAGTTTAATGAATTTGGACAGTTCACTGGATCCGCCCACACGGTTCTACTCACCTTCCAAAATGCTTCCAAAATAGCGCTATTGCGCAGGAGCCAAAAAGAAAGAAGAGGAAAGTAATAAACGAGAGGGCCCCAGAGGCTGCTGCCCTTTCAGAAAAGCCCGAGTGAACTTTCCAGAGAAAATTTAAGCCTAAAAAAAAAAGGATGTTTTTTTTTCTTTCTCATGCAGGAATCAGGCAAAGATAGATGCCACAAAGACAAGCACGCGTGTGTGACGCGGAAGAACCTGATTTTCATAGAAGTGACAAGCTGTTAGGCATGTACTTGAAATACACGTTCCTTGACGTCATTTATACACACGGAGTCTCAGGTTACACTCTCATCAAGGGCATCAGAGCCGCTCCTGGGGTTTGGTGCTCGAACAAGGTAACTCCAGAGACACGGCCCGACCCTACAGCCTCCCATCATACACACACACACACACACACAAGCAAGCAGACAAGCTCCTCTGCCACATGTGGGCACACACACACACACACACACACACACACAGTCACACTAGGGAGAAGACAAGCACCTCTGCCCCACACGGGTGCCCACTCCCCCTCCCCCCCCACACACATACACACAGTCACACCAGGGGGCAGACAAGTACCTCTGCCACACACAGTCACGCCAGGGAGCAGACAAGCTCCCTTTCCACACGGGGCACCCACAGTCCCCGCGCTGTGCTGCCAGCCCTGTGGCCCAGACCCCACTCTCCAGGCCTGCGCTGAGAACACCCTTCCCCCCGCAACCCTCCCTGTGCACCACTGCGTGGCAGCCAGCTGTTCCGTGGGCAGAGCCCTCTGTGGGCTGACAGGTGGTGATTACTGTTGCCAGCCCCACATTAGGAGAGAATTGAATGGGAGAGAGCCCCTGCCCACCCCGGGCTCCCTACAATAGCGCCTTTGTGAGGTGCTTCACTGTCTGTCTTTCCCGTTCCTCCTCAATCTACGTCTGGAGCAGCTCTGCCTAAGGAGAGGAGAAAAGAAGACAAAGGGAGGCTCACAGGCCCTTGGCGGAGCCACCCCACCTGGGGCGGGAAGGAGGGCTGCGCTTTGGGAAGAAGACTGCGCCCCTCCCCCGCACTTGGCTAAGGCAAATAACCAAGAGGACCCCAGGGCTGCCTGGGGTTGACTCCTTATGAAAGCAGTGGATCCTGCCCATCAGCCAGCCTTGCTCCTGCGCGCTGAGCTCGCAGCAGTGAGGGTGACGCTGGGGTGGGGGCCTGGTGCAGCAATCAGCAGATTCCTGGAGCCTGGAGTCCAAAGCCTGGAGCCTTCCTCCTCCTCTCCCTTCTCCCTTCCCCAGATTGCCCTCTGCAATCCAACGCCAGAGGCCAGGGTGTGAGCCAGAGAGGGTTAAGTTTCCAGGAGTCCCGACAGGCTTCGGCCAGGTTCAGGGCTGGAGTGGGTAAGTGGGGGTGATGAGGGTGGAGAAGAGGAAGGCAGGCAAAGGCTGCGGACCGGGTAAGGCCAACATCTGGGACACGGCCATTGCCCCTCCTCCCTGCCCAAACCGCAGACGCTGTGGCAGCAGGAAAATCAGAGCGGTTCAGACCAAGAACAATTGTGCAACCCGGCCCTACAGGAGCGCTATGCTGGAGGTGGGAGTGGAGTCTGCGGTGCGGGGCAGAGTTCACTTTACAGGGGAGACTTCAGTTCTTACTCAAAACACAGGCATCAGGGCTCTGGTTTCTACAGTAGACTGCAATGCGGCTAACATCCATTTTCTAGTTCAAAATCCTCTGAGAATTGGAACTGGAAGCTCTGCCCTGGGCCCCAGTGTCTCACAGCCAGAGGCACGGTGTCACTGAGGTTCTGGGGTGGCTGCCGTGGATTGGCTGCTGTGGATGGCGGTGGGTGTGGACGGAGGCCTTTTGTCCAGCCTCCTAAAGTGGCGGGATTCTGCCGCTTCCCCCAGGCGCCTCACAGTAAACTCCTCCTCAGCAAAGGGAGCCCCTCCAAGTCCTTAACATGGCTCAAGCAGCGGGGATGGGTTGGGAGGGAGAAAATGGACGGTCACGGGGAAATTTGATCTGAGGGCTACCCTAAACAAACACAGGAGAGGAGTAGTGGATTTACCTTTTAATGCAAAATGTTGCAATACAAAATAATGTGGAGAGAGTCCTGTTCCTCAGGACACTGAAGGGAGGAGCGAGGAAGAGAGGGCAGAGCTGGACATCTCCTAGCCCTCTCTCCCCAAGTCCCTCTGAGGGCAAGAACACTGCTGCCTGCTCCCTGGGCCTGCCCCATACAAGGTCAGCACTCTGGGTCTGGGTCACCCTTAGCCTGAAATTTCTTGACATGGGCCAGGAGAACAGGAGTGAACGTTGAGGCTTTTGACTCTTTTAGGGCTAAAAGGGTTACTCCGGGTCTGGAGTTCTGTATGAAACAAATGAGCTGTAAGAATTTGATTGCCATTGGTAAACATAGAGGGGAGTTGAGCCACAACTGGCCCACATTTGAAGAATGAGGAACAGGAAATTTAGTGGGGATATAATATAAATGTATGGGAGAAAGATGCAAAAAAACACGGCTAGCTCCTCAAACCTCCTCCTCTTTCTTCCTCATCTCCAGCTTATAGACAATCTGGTAGCCATCATCCCAGGCATAGAGCTGGCGTTCGCGGGGGTTATAGCGGAGGCTGGCATGAGCACCATATCTGCGGGGAAAATAAGGGAGTGCTGCCCGTTCAGGGGTCAGGGTGCCACTGGCATCAAAGGAGCACTGGATGCGGGCCCGACTGGCAGGACGGGTGTTATAGACGACGTATAGGGTCCCACAGATGACAAAGGCAGCCTCAGCATTCTCTCTGGGACATGGTGTGTCCCATTGCTGCTCTGTGTCCAGTGTCTGTGGATCTAACTTGGCCAGACACAAGTGCCTGTCATCCTCCCGGGTGGCATAGACAGCCCAAAGGCCTTCCTCATCAGCTGCCAGGTCAATGTAGGTGTCTGCTGTCAGGCCGTACGGGGGGATCAACCCCTCTGCTGGGAATACGGAGCTGTCCACCACTGTTCGGTTTGCCAGGTGGAATTTGATGAGCTGCAAAGTGTTCTCCGTCTCACCACCCCCGCCAGGTCCTCCAGGAGGCCTCCGGGCAAAATAAAGAAAGCCACCATATACCAGCTGCCCTGTGCCTACCCAGGGGAAGGGCACCCGGACTCGGGAAGCTTTCCGGGCAGCCATGGCAAGGGTGAAGTCACGCAGCCTTGGAAAGACAAAGGCTGTGTCATTCTGTGTCCCATCTAACACATAGATCTTCTCTGTTTGCCCCAGTGGATCCTTGGTCCATAGACCAGCTGGGCCACCAAATCGCTTCAGAATCTTCATTGATCTCACTTGAGAGATTGTGTAGCCACAGTCTGATGAGAAAAGCACAGGGAAAGGAAATAGAGGCAAGAATTAGATGCCTACAGCAGGAACTCCCCCAGGGTGGGCGATCTGGGGAATAGTGAGCATTTGCCCAGAGGATGCCTCCAGTCTTAGGGAAAATTGAGAAAAGCGGGTACCACAGGGGCCTGGGTCCCCAGAACTTTCCTTAATAGACCTGGCATTACAGAGGTTTCTCTGAAACAGATTCCAGAAGACAGAGCCACAGTGGACTGGACCAAACAGAAAAAAAGAGTAAGAAGGAAGGAAGATCAGTTCTGAGAGAGTTAGGGCCTGCTTTCGGATCACCTACCTGTCACCATATCGTACTTCTCATTTCTTCTTCCCTTGCCTTTTGTCCCAGGGCCTCCAGTCACCTTCTCATCAAGCTCTACACAGGGCAGAGCTGGGCTCTGGGTCTCCAGATAGTCCACCTCCCGCTCCAGACGGTCCACTCTCCCGGAGATGGTGTCAGCCTCAGTTCTGAGCGCCTCCCGCTCCTTCTCTGCCACCTCCAGCAGTGGCAGCATCTTGTTCTTGAAGTCCCGCAGCTCAGCAGCATGCCGACTACTCTGGTCCTGGCACTGGGCCAGCCGTTCCTGAAGGGATGGGGGATCAGGAGGGAGGCTATAGGGTTACAACTCCCAGGCAGGGAGAGGCCCAACCCGGGAGCCAGGAATGGGAAAAAGAACAAACTCCGCCAGGCTTCAATATCCCCTTCCACTCCTGCAGGAAAGGAAGCCAGATGTGCAGAGGTGCTAAACGTGCAAAGAGCCTAGCTGAGAACCACCTAGGCCCCTACCCGAGATCCACCTAGGCCCCTACCCTGACTCCATGTCCTCCAGCCCATGTTCTCTGTGAGCAGTGCCAGAGTCATCTGAGCCTCTAGGCAGGTCTAAGTGCATGAAGATGGGAAGAGGTCTCTGCTCCCTTAGCAATTCTTCTCTGGGGAATTAAAATGCTACAGATCTCAACCTGTTAAAGACAGGAAGTTGCAGATTCTCTGGGAACCTCCAACTTCAACAGAATCATCACTCCTCCAGAGATGTAGCTCCACAATCTTGGCTCTCGTTTCCACTGTGTCCCCTTATTCTATCTAATCCCAGAGGCAAAAGGCAAAAGTCTATTTGCTTTGGAATTGTTCTATGTGGGAAAAGAGGAGGGCTTGTTACTCTGAAGGTCCTCTTATTAACAGAGAATTTTCTGTAGGCTCTTGCAGAGGCCTATCTTGTTATCCCCAGATCCCTAACAAACTGGTTGAACCAATAGACCTGGAATCCTTCTAGGCTGTGCTAGAAGAGAAAGGAGCCCCTCACCTCTAAAGCAGCTAGTCGGCGTTCCATGTACTCCACAAGGTGGTGCTGCTGTCCTTGAAGGGGTCCCGACCATGACAAAAGGAACAAGATGAGGAGAGGGGTGCTGGGCCCCATGGCAGCTCCGAGAGTGGAAGGAACGTGCAGCCAGTCTCTTCCCCTCAAGCCAGAGGGTTAGCTTTGGAGGCGGGGTGGGGGCGGGGCCTTCTCTCCTGATCTCTGGATCTCTCTCACTACTCTGGAATGCTTTCAGTCTCTTTACAACCCCCACCCCCTCCTTCCCGCCAGGATTGATCAAACACAGATGGCCCCATTGCACAGCAGCCAGAATCCTTAACCACCTCCAGCCTAGGCTGTAGGCTCCCCTGGAAGGGAAAGAGATGGAAACCCCAAGGCAGAGGCCTTCTGAGCAGTCAAGCAGGGAAGCTAGCTGCAGGAAGCAGAGACCCCAGAGAAAACTCGGCAAACGCCATTCCTGTTTTAGGAGAGTTTCACCAGTGCTGACGTCTTAAGAAACTTAAGATCTTTCGTTAATCCTTCCCTTTCTCTGCAATAATAGAGTGGATTTTCTGCCTTGTTCAGTAGAAGCTGGAAGCCAGGGAGGTGAGATTGAGGGGAGGAAGCAGGAAAAAAAAGGCCCAAGTGGTCAAGCCCAACTTCTTCTAAAGCTCATTGGCGCCACCTTGTGCTAAGCACCTAGTGTCATCTCTCATGATTAATACAGAAACTAAGGCTTAGACTTCACCCCATGAGGAAAATTTTCCACAAAGCAAGCCAATACAGGGGTTTTCACAACTAAAATGCAGATTTCCCGCCCCCCCAGACTATCCAATTACTACTTTGGGGGCTATGCGAATATCTGATTTAGCCCAAGGAAGAAAATATAACAGATTAAAAAAAAAACAGGTCATTGAGACGTAGTAAATTAACTGATTGTCTGGAAGTAAGGCTGACAGCAGCACTGTTTTACATGGCTTTCCTTTGCTTGAAAGAGGCCAGGTATATTCTCTCACCAAAACCGAGCAGTGTTCAGTGAGTTCACATTAATTTATTATACATTCACTTACGGGGAAGGGGGTGAATTGAAATTGTGTGTGTGTGTGTGTGTGTGTGTGTGTATGTACATATATGTTGCAATCTAAATCAAAATAAATGTATTCTGACCTCGCTACTACTGGGAGAAAAGACAGTGGTTCTCTCTCGGTTGTGGCCCAAAAGGGTATTTCTGAGTGTTTCTCACTTCTATATCCCAACTAAGGCAGCAGGAGCAGAAAATGAATTAATGGCCACCATAAGGCAGACTTGGCCTGATACACAGGCCAAAAAAAGATTAAGTAAGGTCGGGCACAGGGGCTCAAGCCTGTAATCCCAGCACTTTGGGAGGCCAAGGCGGGCGGATCATGAGGTCAAGAGATCGAGACCATAGTGAAACCCCGCCTCTACTAAAAAATACAAAAATTAGCAGGGCATGGTGGTGTGCGCCTGTGGTCCCAGCTACTTGGGAGGCTGAGGCAGGAGAATTGCTTGAACCAGGAAGTGGAGGTTGCAGTGAGCCAAGATTGCACCACTGCACTCCAGCCTGGCGCCTGGCAACAGAGCAAGACTCTGTCACAAAAAAAAAAAAAAAATTAAATAAAGCATTTACTCAGAGATGTCCAGTCATTAATTCAGACAAATCCCTATTTCTTTATCGGGAGAAATTCTACTCACTTTAGAATCAAGAGAATCTGATCAGAGAGGTTCCTTCTCTAAAAAGGACCATGACTCTAACAGTACAGCTTGAAAGGAGGGGAAAAATACCATCTTCCTGTGGTGACTCAGGAAGTCACATTTCATTCTGCTACTGTTATTTGGCAAAACACGTTAGGATGCAAAGCTTAATTAGCCTGTCTCAGAAGTCTTCTACTTCTTTGAAAGGGTCAGATCCAGATGATGTTAAGTAAGGGCCCTGGACACCACTGCATTCTTGGGAAGTATTCCCTACCAAACCTTATTCATTTCCAGTATGGAGATTTGTATGAAGAATGAAATTGTCTCTAGTACTCTATTGATGTTCAAATATAGTATGTTTAGCTACTTCAAAGATGTCATTTGTTGATCCCCTTTGTATCCTATAAGAGAAGTCAAAAACAGCCACGTGATTCAGAAAATTTACCCATTTTATTGATGCATTGCAATTGCTCTACATTTTACCATATTATGTAGAAAATACTGAAAATACAAGCTACTTTGTAAAACCAAAGACAAACATTGAATCCAAAGATAAACTATGTTTTACACAATGGACCCTTTTCCCATAGTTAGTATTAAATTTTAAATATCTATTTCTTTTGTTAAAATGATTATTTTACATACTCCCTAAGTACATCTGCATTACAAACATAGCTCAGTAATTCTCAGAAACTATCTGTTTCTAGAGGCTTGTTGTAAAAGAAAGCGCACAACCAAAAAAAAAGGAGAAAGCAAAAAAGGTTTAAATCGCACACAATAACTAGCATATCAAATACATTTAATAAAGTAGGAATTCCATTGCAATATCAAGGATTCAAAGCAGAAATACTAACATTACATATAATGTACATAAAATGTACTGCTACATGTAGTGAGATTATTTTTTCAAGCTGAATTGAAACCACACATTATATAAAGTTTAGCAACAAACAACCATGTAGACATGCTGCACCATCTATCAGTTAAAAAAAAAATCAAAATAGGAAGCAGGCTCGGGCCACTCCTGTCACTGAGAGGCAATTTCATTTCCTATCCTAAAACAAACCATCTCAACTAGCAAATGTTTCCATAATAATGCTGAATAAAACACACTTTACTGTGCTTGCCTGGCTAAGGGCAGTCGATCTTAGCCCCTCTAGTGGAGGACAATGGATGAGCAATCACAAAAACAGGCTCCAAATGGCCAGACTGTTTGAAATGGAGTTCATATTCCTGGGGTTATTTCAGCTGAGCACTGAAAACAGTATCACCTCCTGGGAGCTAAAAAACTCTGGAGTGACCAAGTGTCCCTATGAGCCCAGAGTGGCTACATTGAACCCTTCCACCCTTCCTCTCTCACCTGGAAGGGGAGAAGCTCGAAACGCAAGTTCTGAGAGAGGACTTAAAGCCTTAAGCTGGTTTGAGGTCAGGTCACTGTGACCCAGACCAGCTGCTCATTAAATTCACCAGGCTTCCCTCATTCCTGTCAGGGCCAACAATGTTAAGCCCCAGGGACAGAATCTAAAAGCCACGTTGAGCACATACACATTCGGCAGACACAGGTGGATTTTTATGTTGGAAAATCAGAAATGCCAGTTTGCAGACCAAAGACTGAAAAATCTCTAAAGTTTTTAAAGCCACACACTGCTAGTCAGATGATTAAGTTAACAACACAAGCTCTTGGTATTATCTTTTTCTGTGGAGTCTGGACTCCTAAGTGGTATCTGCTTATTGGACTGGGGTGCAGGAATGGGGTTTTGTTTCCTGCGTCTCATTTCTTACAAAAACAACAAATCTTGTCCCTTATAGAAAAAAGATAGGAACAAAAAATTTGTCCTTTAGAAACTAGACCTGTGTTCAAACAATAAAATCAAAATGTGCTTGGCAAAAAGGAGACACAAAGATCACACATGTTGACCAGAAAACTGTACGACACTAGTGACAGAAATTATACAAACTGCTTGACTATCTTGACCAATACAGTGCTGAAAACACAACTCAATATAGTGATTTTTAAAAATAAAGAAAACACAACATGTTCCTGGTAGGCTGTACTGACTACCTGCCCCATCTTGGAAGCCCTTACTCCTTACAATGAAGAAACTCCAAATACTTTGACAGCTCCTCGGTGTTCAGCCTGGTACAGAGCTGGCTGACCGGGCTCCATGAAATCTCCCATCTCCATCCTGCACCTCCTTGACACCATCTCTATCTACATAGAATCAGTCCTAAAATTATCTCTCAAATATATCATTTTCAATTCAGATGGAACACACCTGTATTTTAGGATTAACCTTCTTTCCCCAAATCCTTTATGGGCAGGAATGTCCCCATCCCCAGTACCTTCTACTTGACCCAGATCCATGCAGGAGCTGAGAGTACAAGGACAATTTCACAGCTTGAAGGGCCCCAAAACTATACAAGCTGTTAAAAAAGAAACCTCAAAAGCCTCAATGACTCAACAGGCTTTGGTTCCTCCTCCATATTCTTCACCAGCTAAGAAAACTTTCTGTGAGTTCCTTGTCACGAGCGGCACCACAAAACTCCTCCTCATAGTATGGGGACATGGTAAGCAATACAACAGGCTCTTTGGTATAAACACATCTGTTATATGTTTTTTTCAACAAGCAAATATTTTACTAGGAATGTCAACTATTTGCAGGAAAGATTGCCACATGGGAAAAGGAAAAAAAATCATTCAAAAAGTGATTGCACATACTTTAAAAGAATGCATATTTAATATTGGCTTGACTCCTCTCACCTGCTTCCTGAATTCTCACAGAAGCAAGGTAGCAATGCACAGTGAGAGGGCCACATGGGGAAAATGCTTCTGCGAGAACTCAGCTGATAATCCAAAATGGAAAGGAGTAGAGATGGTGGTAAAGGAGAAAAGCTGCTGTTTTTATTTTTCAATGTTGGCAGGGAAACTGAGAACAATGCATTTACACAACACAGCTACTAATCCTGTTCTGATAAATCCCAGTGAACAACTTAGGGTCCACGGGGGCTTGCTGGTCCATCCTAAGGCAAGCTCACTGTAAACTCTATTAACCACTACATTATCATATAAGGCACTACAATAAGGGAAGGAGGGAGAAAGGGAAGGAAGAGACACACACTGAAAAACTCCTCACCAGACACACCTGTGCAAAACAATTCCAAGGTTCTCCTCTCCTTGCAGGCAATGCCCCTGCTCAATCAGCACTACAGTAATATGCTCTAATATAATTGCAATTAGTTCACATACATTCCAACAAGTATCAGTTCATTTTGGTTTAAATACAATGGAGACATCAATCCATCTCCGGGGTAACACTGGAGGATCACATACACACTAAGTACACAATTCAAGTGTAATCACTACACATTTGATTACAAATAACATTTTGGATTAGCAGGAAAAATTGCTTGTTATATTTTTCTAATCAATATGTACATATTTAATCATGTAAAATATTAAAACACCACCATTACAAAACTTCTAAAATATTTTTAAATTCAGTAATAAATTTTTAAAATATTTTTTTGCAATTCCTACATGCACTTATTATATAAGTCTTAATAAGAGAGCATTCAATTTGCTGCTGGCATACAAAGGAAGCTACTTTAAAGTATAAAAGCTATACACAAGAAATGTTCTTATCTGGTTTCAGATTTTTTTAGCTTTCTCCCCAAACAAATCACATAAAACAGAAGGGAGAGATGAGGAAAACACAGAGGTGTATTACTGAAAATTCATACTAATCTTTAGGCAAAGCTCATCAATGCCAGTATCTTAGACAGATATTTTGCATATAATAAAACCACCACCACCATATAATAATAACCACCTTGATGGCTTTTTCAATTTAAAAATAATTAAGCTGAATCAGAGAAAGGCTTTTTAAAAATAATTTTAAAAATAATTCATGGTGCTTCATTTAAAAAGAATACTTGGTGCTCTCACGTAGGTATGGATTCTCTCACATTAAGTTACCAGCAAATGGTGAGCTGCCTTTTAAACACTACTTTATAACAAACACAGGAGCAACTGAGAGAATCCCAATAGTAACATAGAGTAATACGTAACCAGTTTTGCAAAAATAACAATTGCCCATTAAGTATAATATGACATTAAAATAAAACTGAAACTCTGTAAGTTTAAATGTCCAATAAACAGATGAAACTTTGAGGATATGTAAAAATATAGACTTGTGTAAGTTGCTTTTAAAATAAAATAAGCAAGTAAGTCTGAGTTTATAAACAGTAATGATTTTTCTTCTCTTTTTCATCAGATTTCAAGTCCTTCTATCAGTATTTTTCCTGACCAGCAATCACAATAACACAAAATGAAATAAAGAGGGGCTTCACTTGTTTTTAAAAGCATTTATAGAAATCAAGTCAGAGAGACAAAATGTTTTTCAGAGGGTAACTTCAAAACAATCTCTCTTCCTTGGTAACTGCAGAAGATGGGCATCTGAACTCTTCCAAGTACCAAAATTGCTGTCACAAAAATAAAGAATTTAAAAATAGGGCAAACTTTGGGAGACTACAACAATGCAGTCAACACTGAGACAGGTTCCCCCAGAGAAAAACCTTCTGCTTCAGTGGGCCCCTGCAGAACAAGTT